GGGTGAGTTGGTGTGGGGGGTGCATTTTTGTGTGTGTGTATGTGTGTATGTGTGGACCCGAACAAAAATAGATATATTGGCAAAGAAGTAATAACGACGGTGCACGCAATGAAATTTGTCAAATTTTCAGGGCGATCCGCCCCTTTATGAAGACAGGAACATGAAATTTTACATACATGTATCACAACATATAACAGATATTAACAGTCACCATGAAACATTAATACAATAAAAAATACATAGACAAAAAGAAGTTACTACTAGTAATATGAAATATGCTGTTGTAATTGCATATCCCCTCAAGATGAGTTATTCACTATAATTAGCCTTAGTTACAAGTTAACTGGAGGGATATGTTATTACAACAGCATATTTCATATTAGTAACAATGTTTTCATGTTCAATATCATGATTCCTAATTTTTCATTAACATCACTTTCTAGCAATTTTCAGTTGATCTCTTTTCAAAGGATTTTTTTAACTGTGATGAAAACAACAGAATACACATAGCAATAGAATGTATACATAACATAACATAACATAACAAGTGATCTTAACATAAACTTAACATGAGCTTTCTCTGTCTGGCCTTTCTCCCAACTACCAGCATTAAATAGTACACATCGATTGATAATGCCTAATATTATGCATATGTGAGAATTTAGTCACTTTGCTTGCTCGCCAGCTGACCGTCGTGATTCCCGCCATTTTTCCTTTGTTGGTAGGAAAATTATTTTTGTGCATATAACATTCACAGCCCTTAACCACAGAACTATCAGCTAAGGTTAAAAAGGGTGTCCAGGCTATAGGTGAACTAAGGGATCCGGAAGTAGTGCGTGAAGTGGTATCTCAGCTGATGATAAATACGCTGTTCAAAGATACATTATTATCAAGTCTAGGTATCACTGCCCTACACCAACAGGTCAAGTCACTAGAAAACAGATTAGATGACATGGGGCAGTATTCACGTCGCAACTGTCTGAAATTCAGGAGGATCCCAGAATCTGAACACGAGAACACTGACCAGTTATTATTGACTCGTGCAATAACACACTGGGTTACGGATGCTGACATCAGTCGCTCACATCGTGTAGGCCCATCAACAAGGCATATCCAAGAGACATTATTGTACGTTTCATCTCGTATAAGACCAGAGCCAACGTCTATGATGCCAGATTTTCCTTATTCAGTAAGAAAGACCAGGAATCATCACCCACATCTCCCACCCCATCCAATAAGCTCTTCATCAATGAGGCACTAACTAGATCTAGGGCATCTGTTTTCTTCAAGGCTCACTTTCTCAAGAGACAGGGTCTCATATCTGGCACTTGGACCAAAGACGGTAGGATTGTTATCAGGAACAATAGTGGAGAGAAACACCAAGTCACCAAACTTGAAGAGCTAGGATCCTACTCCGACCCCCCTCCTAAGAAACAACCAGGCCCAAGGACGTTGGCCTCTAACCGTGACAGATCCTACAACAGGCAGCCACACCATAAGTGATCTGATGAATACATAAACTGGTCATAATTATGTGGCATTTGTTTGTTTTGTTTCTTTTTGCATTATTTTTTATCAAAGAAGTCAAATATGTACCATAACTGTATAAATCTCACCATGTGACTATGTGTGTAGAACCAATTATACATATATCATATAAGTAACTTATTTGATACAAATGTATAACTTATGATTTTTACTTCACCAAAGCTTAATAATATGTATGTGTTGCTCATGGATTATAACATGTGTACATTTTCTTTTACAGTGGAAACTTTTATACCTAGGTATAAGTAAACTTACCTTGGCTTCTTATTGATGATCCATCAATTGAATACATACATAAATGTATATAGATTATGAAAACATACTCTACCAACATGATCTAATGAAATGTAAACACTGAATATTTAATATATATGTCAATTTCCAAAATATGTATCTCTTTATCATAACCTATACTGTAGAACATGCATGCCTCATACTACTAGTATAATGATAATATTTACTACAGAAAAAGTTGTGTTATCTAAATTGTATGTGTTATCGTTCCTGGATCATAACATGTGACAATAATATGCCTCTACAAAAGGAAAGATATAGCTTATCTAATTAGTGATGTTCTACCAATTGATAATATGTATATATATATACAGCCGATATATGTTATATCCATGTAACCTTTCAATCAAGCCCCTTCATTGTGTTTATTTATTGTATGTAGTCTATATATACTATAAAAACAAGATGTTTTCTGTATCCATTGGCTGCTTGGCCTTTCGAATCATGTGACTATGTGATCGTGCTATATACAAATGTACTTTATAAGTATGATATTGATTGGTGTAACTAACGATATAAACTTCAGTGAAATGGTTATAACAAAAAATAATTCCACATATAGTTTTGCATTTCATGCCATAATTGCACATACCTGAGTTACAAATATAATCCCAAATACATATTTTACTATTAACCGGTATCTTGGCCAAATTAAAAAAAAAGCTCGTGCATACTGTTTTACAAATCGCATGCTTTTGGTCTACCTCTTCCAATTAACAGGTCAATATTTTATATTATTGAATGTTATACTATTCTCAACATAAATAGAATGACCAGAATTATTTGAGTCTTAACATTCTACAAGTAATTACCCATGATTATTGTACATGACAATGTCAAATATAGGACTCCCATTATAATTATATTCTCAATCAAAATACTCTATGTCAGATATATCTCATCAAAATACATATAAATAATGCTGATTGGAAAGGGCGTACACCATAATTGAAAACAAACCAAATCCTGTTCACTACTATGCTTGTGACGTATGTTGATCCCGTATTGCTTGTTAAGGTAATGAATCAGTTTAGTGATGTACATGTTTATACCTTGCATACGGTCTTTTTACTTACTTTTCTGTTATACTTTCCAGTTAATGTACTGTTTTACTCTACTCTTAGTCCACTCAGTCCACAGTCGAATTCCAGAGATTGTTATTATGCCTATCGTAAGTTTGTTTACACCAGAAACCTATTGGTGTGTCCTAATGTTTACCACTCAATTGTCTTTGATAATGGATAAATATAAGAATATCGTCATTATATTTATTGGGACACATCTATATTGTGAGAATTATTACTATATCAACACATTGATCATCCGAGCATTTGCAGGTAAAATTACATACCCTAGCTATTACTTTACATATTGTTTACTTTTTGAAGAATCACATGTTTTCAAACTTAAAAAAAATGAATATTTTTTATGTACCATTACAAATATATTACTTCTTTGCAATGATATTGAACTAAATCCAGGACCCCAATGTAACATAGAAATCTCACATCTTAATGTTAGATCTCTCAGAACCAAACTTGATATCATTGAAGCAGAATTACATGAAAGTGACATATTATGTCTTACTGAAACACACCTTTCTCCAAATATAACTACTGCTGAAATAACACTTAACTCCCATTCCCATAACATTCACAGACTTGATAGAAAAACTGGATCTGGGGGAGGAGTAATTATTTATCACAAAGATACAGTCCATACTGAAAGAAGAATTGATCTTGAGCATGAAGATTTAGAAATGATATGGATTGAAGTATTATTCAATAAGCAACAAATGTTATTAGGATGTATTTATAGACCTGAATCAAATGTTGAATATTGGGATAAATTAGACCATGTTCTAGATAATGCATGTAACACATCACTTAACATCATAATAACAGGTAATATAAATGTAAATATGTTGAATATACTTACTAACCACCATTTAAATAGACTAATGGTAAAATATAACTTTACAAATCTAATTAATAAACCTACCAGGATAACACAAACTACTGCCACTGCCATTGATATTTTATTCCCTAATAATATTAATCTTACAAAACATAAAACAGTGAATACACCAATATGCAGTGATCATTCTGTTATTCATTTTACCTGTTCATATTCTGTATTTAAGCAAAAATCCTACCAGAAAACTATATTAAACTATGACAATGCAGATTTTGATCAAACGAATAGAGCTCTAAATGAAATAAATTGGGAAATACTCTTGACTCGAATGAGTTAAATACATTTTTAACAGATTCTATTAATAATCAAATGGAAGAATTATACATGTACCATCCAAAATTATAACTGCTCGCCCTAATGATAAACCTTGGATGAGGAATATTATAAGGCAAAAAATTAGACAGAGAAATAGAATGCATAAAAAAGCTATAAATAACAACACTGCAATTAATTGGGAAAATTTTAGAAAGGCTAAAAATGAAGTAGTAGACCTTGTTAGAGAAGCTAAAAACACTTATTACGAAAAATTACAACAATCTCTTAGTGACCAATCTGTGCCTCCTAATAAGTGGTGGAAAATTGCTAGATCTGTAATGAATTCAAATAATGTATCAAATTGTCTTCCTCCTCTTTCTGAAAATAATAACTTAATACATCGTCCATTTGAAAAAGCAGAATGTCTAAATAACTACTTCAGCTCAATATCATTATATCTGAAGAGGACATTAACGATCAACTGTGTTTACTTAATGATAAAAAAAACCTCCTGGCCCAGATACCCAAGATAATAAAGAAATTAGCACCTTCTCTAATATGTCCTCTAACTTTACTTTGTAATAAGACTATTGAATCTGGTATTATACCTCTTTCTTGGAAAACAGCTAATATTAATGCAATATAAAAAGGTAAGGGTGCTCAAAATGATGTCTCTAACTATAGGCCAATATCTATTACATCATGTTTTAGCCAAATTGTTGAAAAAGTTGTTTTTAAATATATGTTTAATTATATGAAAGAATGTGATATCATAACGAAACACCAATCAAGCTTCTTACCAAGAGACTCGACTGTAAACCAGTTATTATCTATATATGACACTATTGTAAATAACTTGGATCAAAATAATGAAATCAGATTTGTATTTTGTGATGTAAGTAAGGCGTTTGATAGAGTTTGGCATGAGGGTTTACTTTTTAAATTGGAATCGTATGGCATAAAAGGGAAATTATTACAATGGTTTAGTAATTATCTTTCTGATAGAAAGCAGTGAGTATCAACAGAGGGTTTTTATTCAACTTTTAAGCATGTCAAAGCCGGTGTACCCCAAGGCTCGGCCCTTGGTCCATTTCTTTTCTTAATCTATATTAATGATATAACAGAATGTGTAACAAGTAAAATAAAACATTTTGCAGATGATACTTCTCTCTATGAAGTAATAGACAAAAATCAAAATGAAATTGCAGTGAAATTAAATAATGATCTAGGTTATATTAATGCATGGGCAAAAAAAGGGATATCAAATTTAATTCACTTAAAACTGAATCTGTAATCTTCTCAAGGAAAAGGGAACAAAATTATCCAGATATCTTATTTGGTAATGAAACTTTAACTAACAAACAAACTCATAAGCATCTTGGTTTAACTTATAGTAGTGATGGAAAATGGACATATCATATTGACAATATTTATGAGCTAGCTTATAAAAGAATGAATATATTGAGAATGTTAAAACACAAATTGGATAGAAAAAGTCTTATAACAATATATACCTCTTTTATTACACCAATACTTGAATATGGGGATGTAGTATGGGATAACTGTAGTAACCAAAATAAAAATATTCTTGAGTCAATCCAGCTAGAGGCATTAAGACTTATTACAGGATTGCGTAGAGGGACCTCTCATTGTAAGCTTTATGCAGAAACTGGACTTGAACCACTTTGTTGTAGGCGAAAAAATCATAAATTAGCACCTATGTTCAAAATTTTAAATAATGAATCGCCTAAGTACTTAGAAGACATCATTGAACCATACCTTCACAGCAATATAAATGTAAGATACCCACTAAGAAGTAGCCGTATTTTCAATCCCCCTTTCTGTAGAACTGAGAATTATTTCAATAGTTATTTTCCCTCAATGTGTAGAGAATTTAACCTTCTATCTGCAGAAACTTTAAATGCTACTTCCCTTCAACAATTTAAAAAATTCATCAAGTCTGATAATATGAACAACACTGAAGAAATTGCTAGCACATTTAAATACTCTGGGCCAAGAAAATTCAATATCATAATTTGTCAGCTGAGAAATCATGCTAGCAACCTAAATAGTGACTTATATATGGATCATCTGAATGGCACACCAGCATGTAGATGTGGATATGAAAATGAAAATGCATTTCATTTTATATTTGAATGCCCACTCTATAACAACTTCAGAATGCAATTAGTAATACAAATTTCTCAATTTGGTATAACTGGTAATCATGATCATTTTAATCTAAAACTCTATTAAAGGGATGCTTAATATGCAGCGCTGATATTAACATATCCATTTTACAAAATATATCTGACTACATTTGTCAAACTAATAGGTTTGATATGTAATCTCACTCAAAGCATAACTTTACATTGAAAGTGATCCTATTATTTATAGTGTCATGATCACTCTGCTAATAAGTATTGGTACTGGTGTAAATCTATCTTCACAACATCTCTGGTATTCGGCTGGACTGGATGGAATTTATGAGTGTTCTATTCTATAACCTGTTCTAACTATTTCATAGTTACATGAATATTCTATAGTGCTTTGTTAAATAAATTTTAAGAGAACCGACTCCAATAATATATAATAATAACTACATTTTCCTATATGAATCCATATCATATTCTGAAATTTTACAAAATGTTTATTTTTTGGTAACTTATCCTATATATCCAGTGGGTGGATGGCCAATGTGTTTATACACAGGGACTTTTTGGCCTGTATCCCTTGGATTTTATGTAGGATGGGTTGTCACTAAATATACATGATTTATTTAATTGTTAATATCTAAAACATAAACAGAAAATGATTAAACAAAAGTTGTTAAATGTTCATTTCACAAGCTACATTGGAGTTATCTCCCCTGCACTGTGTAATTGGATTGTTATGACAGAATATGCATTTGATAACTGGATAACTACCATTGTGTTCCCAGTGTGAGATACAGAACTTCGTACTGTACGGTCAGGAAACAGGTTTGTATCACTGTGGTCAGATTCATCAGGTTTGTTGTAAAAGAAAATAATAATGTTGTGTTTCTAAAGCAAAATTTAACAAAGAATTAAATAGTTAATTCTGGGTATTTCCCAATGACTTGCCTTTCACCAAGGCGGCCGGGGTTCGATTCCCCGATCGGACGTGAAAATGTATGGCGTTATTTGATTTAGAACAATTATGAAACAATATTTTACAACCTATATTAATTACTCTTGTTGGCTCGCATGTAAGCGCGCAGGAGTTCTTAATGTAGGAGGAAACCGTAGTATCCGGAAAGAAACCCACGTGGTCGTGAATTGTATACTGAAGAAAGATATCGAATTCATCTTAAAATCATTATGTAGTTTACCACTTATACAATTATATATGCTATCGAAAAGAAGTCTGGTGTGTATGCTTACTTGCTTGACTATGGTCTTGACCGGGTGCAGTATGTGAAGATCATACAAACTTTATTATTGTCAAGAGTATGTAGATTTACTCTGATAAAAAAGTGAAAGTCTTTGATACTTAAAATAGTCCTGTGCATCAGAAGTATAGACTGAAGATACGTTTAGCCAAGAAGTCAAAGAATTGTATATACTGCTATAATGGGGAACAAACTGCAGTCAGTCGTCTGTTTACTGGTGTCATCATCTCAGAGGGTTCCATTGTAATCACTTCTGTCAATATTAACCATTTCTTTTTGTATTTCGCTACACTGTAATTCCTTAATTCAACGCAAGCCAATGAGATATGAACGGATTGACTACGGAGTGATGAAAACGATCACGAAGATATTTCTTTAAATTTGAAGCTTTTTCGAAATAATTCTTATCATTTAAATGAGAAGGAAAATTGTCAAATCTAAGATATTGCGTCGAGGGCCTAGTAGTATTTGGTCTCGTTACAATTTAATAATGTCCAAGTGATCAATCGTCTCTCTATCTAGACGTTTGTGCTGATAATGCAGGGGGCTGAATTATCGAGGATCGATTTACGTGATTCGAAAGCTGTGCACGTTCCCTAAGTTGAAACAGTACATATTAAAAGCTATGTCTCCAAAATAAAAATAAAACATAAATAATGTTAGAAAGAAAATATATATAATACACATATGAAAAGATTTAATAAATAATTTGATTTACAAATATCAAATATACAAATACTACATGAGCTTACCTTTAAAGTAACAGGAATCGACCAGCCCTGTGTCGGCTGGTAGTTATGAGGAGACAGACGAAGTCTACTCTATATAAACCTTGGCACAGAAAACAAACTGTGGCACACTGGAAATTTCCATTCGTATTACTTCTTTCTAGCTTGATCGTGATTGGTCGACACTTTGGATAAAGTCACAGGTCTGCAATGGGAAATATGTACCGACGGAAATCTTATTGTTTAACAATCAGTCAAGTTTACTGATGTGTAACGTGCAAATTACAATATATATCTGTTTAAAAACATAACTATAGATACCTGTATGATAAAAACATAACCAAAAATAATTGCATATGAAATAACTATAAAAACCTGTCTATAACATAATGAATAACTGTCTATAACATAGCAATAAATACCTGTCTATAGCATTACTTTAAATACTTATCTATAAAATAGCAATAAATGCCTATCTATATCATAACAATAAATACATATATATAACATAGCAATAGATACCTGTCTACAACATAACAATAAATACCTGTCTATAGCATAGAAATAAATACCTGTATATAATATAACAATAAATACCTGTCTAAAACATAGCAATAAATACCTATCTATATCATGACAATAAATACATATCTATAAAATGGCAATAAATACATGTCTATAACATAGAAATTAATACCTGTCTAAAACATAGCAATAACTACCTGTTTATAACATAGCAATAGATACCTATCTATAACTTTACAATAACTACCTGTCTATCACATAACAATAACTAAGTGTCTAAAACATAACAATAACTAAGTGTCTATAACTTAGCAATTACTACCTGTCTATAACATAACAATAACTACCTGTTCATAACATAGCAATAACTACCTGTCCATAACAAAGCAATAATTCCTTATCTATAACATAAGAATAACTATCTATCTATATCATAACAATAAATACATATCTAAAACATAGCAATAAATACCTGTCTACAACATAACAATAAATACCTGTCCATAGCATAGAAATAAATACCTGTTTATGATATAACAATAAATACCGGTTTATAACATAGCAATAAATACCTATCTATATCATAACAATAAATACATATCTATAATATAGCAATAGATACCTGTCCACATCATAACAATAAATACGTGTCTAAAGCATAGAAATAAATACCTGTCTATAATTTAACAATAAATACATGTCTATAACATAGCAATAAATATCTATCTATATCATAACAATAAATACATATCTATAACATAGCAATAGATACCTGTCTACAACATAACAATAAATACCTGTCTAATGCATAGAAATAAATACCTGTCTATAACATAGCAATAAATACCTGTCTATTACATGGCAATAGATATCTGTCTATAACATAGCAATATAAACCTATCTATAATTTAACAATAACTACCTGTCTATAACAAAGCAATAAAAACCAGTCTATAACATGACTATGAATACCTGTCTAAAACACAGCAATAAACATCTGTCTATAACATAACTATAAACACCTGTCTATTACATAACTATAAATACCTGTATATATCATAACTATGCATACCTGTCTTTAACATAACAATAACTACCTATCTATTATATAGCAATATATATCGATCTATAATATAACAATAACTACCTGTCTATAACATAGCAATAAATACCTGTATATAGCATAGCAATAGATCCCTATCTGTAACATAAGAACAACTACCTGTCTATAACATAGCAATAAATACCTATCTATAACATAACAATACATATCTGTCTATAACATAGCAATAAATATCTGTCTATAACATAACAATAACTGCCTATCTATAACATAACAATAAATATCTGTCTATAACATAGCAATAAATACCTATCTATAACATAACAATAAATATCTGTCTATAACATAGCAATAAATACTTATCTATCACATAGCAATAAATACATATCTACAACATAGCAATAAATACCTGTTTAAAACATAACAATAAGTAAGTGTCTATTCCATAATTATAAAAACCTGTATATATCATAGCAATAAATACCTATCTATAACATAACAATAACTACCTGTCTATTCCATAACAATAAATTCCCATCTATAACATAGCAATAACTACATCTCTATAACATAGCAGTAAATACCTGTTTATAGCATAAGTATGAATACATATATATAACCTATTAATAGATACCTGTCTTCAACATAACAAAACATACCTGTCTATAGCATAGAAATAAACACCTGTCTATAAAATAACAATAAATACCTGTCTATAGCATAGCAATGAATATCTCTCTATAACACAGCAATAAATATCTGTCTATAACATAACTATAAATACCTGTATATATCATAATTATACGTACCTGTGTATGACATAACAATAACTACCTATCTATAACAGAGCAGTAAATACCTGTCTAAAACAACTATAAATGCCTGTCTATACCATAGCAATATATATATATATCTATAATACAACAAAAACTTCCTGTCTATAACATAGCAATAAATACCTGTCTATAACATAGCAATAATTACCTGTCAATTGCATAGCAATAAATACCTGTCTATAACATAGCAATAAATACCTGTCTATAACATAACAATAAATACCTATCGATAACACAACAATAACTACCTGTCTATAACATAGCAATAAATACCTATCTATAACATAACAATAACTACCTGTCTATAACAAAGCAATAAATACCTGTCTAAAACATAACAACAACTACCTGTTGATAACCTATATCATAACAATAAATACATATATATATATAACATAGCAATATATACATATCTATAATATAACAATAACTACCTGTCTATACCATTGCAATAAATACCTTACTATAACATAACAATACCTACCTGTCTATTATAATATAACAATAAATACCTGTCTAAAACATAACAACAACTACCTGTTGATAACCTATATCATAACAATAAATACATATATATATATAACATAGCAATATATACATATCTATAATATAACAATAACTACCTGTCTATACCATTGCAATAAATACCTTACTATAACATAACAATACCTACCTGTCTATTATAATATAACAATAAATACCTGTCTAAAACATAGCAATTACTACCTGTTTATAACAAAGCAATGAATACCTATCTATAACATATCAATAAATACATGTCTATAACATAACAATAAATACCTATCTATAACATATCAATAAATACCTGTCTATAACATAACAATAAATCCCTATCGATAACACAACAATAACTACCTGTCTATAACATAGCAATAATTACCTGTCAATTGCATAGCAATAAATTCCTGTCTATAACATAGCAATAAAACCCTGTCTATAACATAACAATAACTCCCTGTCTATACCATTGCAATAAATACCTTTCTATAACATAGCAATAAAAACCTGTCTGTAACATAACAATAACTACCTGTCTATAACAAAGCAATAAATACCTGTCTATAACATAACAATAACTACATGTGTATAACATAGCAATAAATACCTGTCTATTACATAACAATAAATACCTGTCAATAACATAGCACAAATACCTGTATATAGCATAGCAATAGATCCCTATCTATAACATAACAATAAATATCTGTCTATAACATAGCAATAAATCCCTGTCTATAACATAGCAATAATTGCCTGTCAATTGCATAGCAATAAATACCTGCCTATAACATAGCAATAAATACCTGTCTATTACATAACAATAAATACCTGTCAATAACATAGCACAAATACCTGTCTATAGCATAGCACAAATACATGTCTATAGCATAACTATAAATACCTTTCTATAAAATAGCAATCAATACCTGTTTATAACATAACAATAAATACCTGTCTATAACATTGCAATAGATACCTATCTATTACCTAGCTATAAAAAACTGTCTATAACATAAATATATACCGGGATATAATAAATATATAAATAGCTGTCTACAACATAACAATAAATGCCTGTCTATAGCATAGAAATGAATACCTGTTTATAATATAACAGTTAATGTACTGTAGTATTTCTTGCAAACCGTATCGGAATGTGAATGCTAGCTTCAAGGCTTGCACCAGCATTTTAAATCACATTTTTACACAAAATTATTAGCAAAAGTACAACAATAAACTGTAATTTCTAACTGTAGAAAGCTAAATATGGAAACAAATATTGCATCACACGGCCATTTCGTCATAAGTTGCATAAATAGAAAAAAAATATCGTGCCTATGATGCTATCAAATATTCTAAACTCATACTTTATTATCTAAAGTACGTGGTCAGGAGTAAGTTACTATAAAGTATTTTATTAACCTCATCTTTATTACAGCGTGACTGATTGGATGATGCTTGTCACATGACGGGGTAATAAAACATCATGTCGCCCTCACGCGCTGAAGTTTCCCCGATCATATTTCCCTTATTCGGAACCTCTCTAGAAAAATAGACAAGAGTAACAACACCTAGTTGCAATTGACAGAAGCAAACGACAACAATGACGTGATCTGAGATAATTGAGTTTATTTAAACACCATTATTGACGTATTTACATTCATATTGTGATTTACAAATATAACACACTTGACTGTTTTAGAACATAGCCCACAGATTACATACTTTAGTTAAATTGTAAATAGAAAAGAAGTCTATGTTGCTCACTATATCAATACACACAAGATTTTATTTCATAAATGATTAATGATCCTTGATGTCACTATAAGTGTTTTCTACCAATGATACAGTAAGTAATATAAGCATCTTTGCAAAGATTATTTTATCGTAGTAAAACTATTAAAAGATCACACAAAAAAGGAACATTGATTATACTCCATTCGGGTATATACAAGACTTAATCATATTTTGTTTTAAAATCCTTCACTTCGGATACGAGCCACCGACTGTTCTTCTGTATAGATCTGTATTATAGCATTATAACGCTGTTGTAGCGTAAAGTCATCAGTTCGTAACGTTAGAAAGGTTTCTTAAACAACTTTTCCCTTTCGCTGCATTTCTACAGATGTTTCGAAACACTTGATACTTTGATTTTATTTCACTCTTTTGAGAAGCATTCAGTGGCACTAATACATGTATGCCCTAAAAGTCCAAAATGGCCACTTGGTGCTGTAAAATGATCATTTGATTAGGTTTCTACATCGAGTAATACTTTTGTTAAATATTTCCTCCTTACTATCCACATGTATGTCTAGTAATTATTTTATGTAAAGGCAACACTATTGAAATCAAAATATCTATCAAAATATCTTTCCCCCAAACCACCAAGAGAAACATAAGTACACTGTTAAACATGACGTACGTGGTTTTCTTCTGGACATTTAGTTTACGTCCTAAACCGCTATAAAGGGTTGAGGCTTGACCTAGACCTCCCCTGTCGACTTTATTTCATGTCTGTCGAACTTTACGTGTTGTGATTTCCGCAAAAAAACATGGACAACTGAATTTTCCCACAAAAGATGTGAAATATTTACCATAAGTCTTTGCGTGTATATTTGTTTTCTTCGCATGTACAACTACTACTGAATGTGTAACTAATGCAATTTGTTCAAAAGCTGATATTTATTTGTCCAATGGAAAATAAAAATGGGCATTGTATACAAGAAATATTTGTTAAAATTCGTTTCATCCTTCGCGCACTTCGTGACATATCATGGCAACGTCCTGTATGTGTTATATATTCCACCCATGTTGATAAAACTTTGATCCCCTGTGGCCCACACGAGGATAGCGATGCTATTCATATACACATACAATCGAACATCTTTTATTCAGACATCGCGTTAAAGTGACATTTTAGTTTTCAATTTAAATTGTCCCAGCAATCCAGGTTTACCACTATCACTGCTCTTAACGGAGGTGCCAGGATTGTCAAGGCTTCAATGTAAGTGACTCAAAGGTTGTGCATGGGGATTGTCAAGGCTCTAATGTTAGTGACTCAAATGTTGTGCATGTGGATTGTCACGGCTCCAATATAAGTGACTCAAAGGTTGTGCATGGGGATTGTCAAGACTCCAATGTAAGTGACTCAAAAGCAGTGCATGTGGATTGTCAGGGCTCCAATGTAAGTGACTCAAAGGTTGTGCATTGGGATTGTCAAGGCTCCGATGTAAGTGACTCAAAAGTTGTGCATTGGGATTGTCAAGGCTTCGATGTAAGTGACTCACAAGCAGTGCATGAGGATTGCCAAGGCTCCAATGTAAGTGACTCAAAGGTTCTGCATATGGATTGTCAAGGCTCCAATGTAAGTGACTCACAAGCAGTGCATTTGGATTGTCAAGTCTCTAATGTAAGTGACTAAAATGTTGTGCATGTGGATTGTCAAGGCTCCAATGTAAGTGACTCAAAGGTTGTGCATGTGGATTGTCAAGGCTCCAATGTAAGAATAATATTTTGTTGTATTATGAAATTTGAGTTTTGTTTTACCAGATATAATTTATGGTATTAGTAATGATGACACAATTCCTACACCATACACATGTTTTTCTCATATTATGCTATTTAGCATAATACATTGTATGCAAACTAATTTTGATTGATCAAAATAATTTGATAACATATTGTTGATGGATTGAAGTAATCAAGAATTTACTCATCAGTTAATGTGAAATATGTAAAGTATTATGTATTATATAGTAAAGACGAAAGAAACAACATATAACAAAATCTTACAAACTTATTTGGATTTATCAAAATAATTTATCAAATATCAAAAAACATATTGTTTATGGAATAAAGTGATCAAAATTTACTCATCAGTTAATATGAAATATAAAGTATTATGAAACTGGATTCAAACCATGGGTTTCAGATTGTTATGTTGTTACTCCAACCAACTGAGCTACCTGGTTTTCGGAAGTGCCCAGACTCTGATGTACTATAGCTGTATCCAAATCAAAATTAAGGGGAGGTTACCGTATAACCGAAAAACCACTGGAATTCTCTAGTGTTTCCCCTGCAGTGGGACATGGATCCTTAAGTGTTGTTATAAACCTCTATATTCTATACAGTTATAGCGATATATTTTGTTCTTTCAATATAAAGATTGCAAGCACTGGTAGGGTATTATTTATCCTCATTTTCCTTAAGTACAGGTATCACAGACAAGTTTCATGTTTGACTCAAAGGTCTACCAATTTCAATATGTATTTGTCACTCTTTCAACAAGAAACCGTCGACTTCACGAAAACTATTACCGATTCGAATTTGTGTCTGTGTCACCACAGAGACGTATACACTACTGGCTTTATATGTCTCTGGTCACTTCCCTGTCCCCCTCCCCACCATGGTGTGATGTCTGAAATACACATGTGCTATACTGATATGGGTCACAACACACATAAACATACACAAGTGTAATGAACCCCTGTGGTTCAATCTAGCTGCGATAACGTAACTTTCTGACGACGACAGATTTTTTTATATATTGCGTCGTCCTTGGCAGAGGGGCCGGGTATTAATATGAGTACCAAGCTCAATCAAACCTGGGTTCGTTACAAATGACAAAAATACACATATGCTATACTGATAAGGGTCACAGCAAACATAATGCTGTGGCCCATATATCAGCATAGCTCATGGTATACCCCTGTGGTTCAAGGTGGGAAGTCGAGGGGGATTCTAGATTTGATAAGGTTGCAGGCCAATTGCTGGAAGTATTTAATGTGTTAAGGAAAATACATTGCCATGCTTTTTAAATGCACAACATATATTTAGACGTGTTGAAAAGTTATTTCATCAATTTTGTCTCTTCTATTTAAATACAAACAACGAAACTTACAAGAAATGACAAACATCAAGCATTCCATTAAGCCCCTTTTACATGTACAATGTCTTTTGCCATTAACGTTATTATTTCTAATATTTGTTCTACCCTTTAATTGTATCTTTATTTAATGAAGGCGTTAATTGCACTCATTGTTTGTAAACAAATGATGCATATTAATAAATGATAAATGCATACTTGCCAACCTTTTGATTTTTATTTTATGGGGGAGAAGCCGTTTGCTCAAAATCAAATTTTACAAAACGTGATTAATTATAAAAGATGTGTATATGCCCCCTAGGTAAAAAAAACACCCTCTTTAGAGTGTCAATTGTCTGTTTAGTTGTTCTTTCTGATGAACTCATTGGGTATCCGAATAGTTAAGCAAGTACTGGCTGAAAATTGTCATTAGGGCCCCGTATCGGAGATACGGGTGCCCTATAGTAATCACCTTGTCTGTCTGTTTGTCCGTCCACAAATTTTGTTCCTGGCTGATAGCTTTAGTATTTATTGACCGACGTACATGAAACCTGGTCAAGATGTTCAGTTTACAAAAATACACATTGAGGTGAAAAGTCAAGGTCATAGGTCAAGGTCATTAGGTTCAAAGGTCAAGGTCAAATTTTACATTTTTTTTTCTGATAAACATTTTGTTATGACATTATGAAGCAAGTTGATCAGAATTAAACAAGGAGTCAACTGAGAAAAGGTCAAGGTCATCGGGTTAGGCGTCAAGGTCAAATTTTGTAGCATTTCACTGGTGAACATTTCGCTATGACATTATGAAGCAAAGTTGTTTGCAATTGAACAAAGAGACACACTGAGGTAAAATGTCAAGGTCATAGGTCAAGGTCATTAGAATCAAATGTCAAGGTCAAATTTGGTATCTTTTCACTGATGAACATTTTGTTATGACATAATGAAGCAAAGTTGATCAGAATTAAACAATGAGTCAACTGACCAAAGGTCAAGGTCATTGGGTCAAAGTTCAAGGTTAAATTTTGTATCTTTTTCACTTGTGAACACTTCGCTATGACACTTTAAAGCAATGTTGCTCAGAATTAAACAAGGAGTCAATTGACCAAAGGTCAAGGTCATTGGGTCAAAGGTGAAGGTTAAATTTTGTACTTTTTCCCTGATGAACATTTTGTTATGACATTAGGAAGCAATGTTGTTCTGAACTTAACACAGGGTCAACTGATCTTAGGGCCAGGTTACGCGGTCCAAAGGGTCAAGGTCAAGTTTTGTATTTTTCACTGAAGAACATTTTGTAATGATACTAAGAAGCAAAGTTGGTCGGAATTAAAGAATAAGTCAACTGACCAAAGATCAGGGTCATTAGTTTAATGGATAAGGTCATTTGGGTCCAAAGGTCAAAGACAAAGTTGATCTCTGACTTTGAGCCTTGCTATTGATGGAGGAGGTATATAAGGTGAAATAAAACAAATCAAAGCTAACAAATGGGTATTGCACCGGTATTTACATTTCTGTTAGCCCAGCAAATATGGAGGTGGAAGGAAACAAGACTCACATCATGGTACATGTAAAATGTATATTTTGCTTCCTTGCGATTCTTTTGGAAGTTCAAATGTCAAACGTCAAGCTCAGCTATATGGGCAGATTGCTTCTTGATGATTATTGGAGATATATTTTGCCAC